GATGACGAAAAAGTCGGTGAAATTGAGGTTTTCGGGCGTCAGGTGGGGACGGGCGTCAGGTGATCAACTACGGTAGGGGGGCGGTCAAGCGGCGGCTCGTTTTCCAAAATGGCCGCCTTTCCACCGGTAACTTTCGGCGTCGATTTCACTGGTCCTCACATTCTACTTGTAACTGATAACAATAACCTGAGGCAAGTACCATATTTGATGATTAATAGGCCACCCCAACATTCCCCCCTCTTTTTATTACTTTGAGTAAATGGTATCTCCATTTAGGGGCCCGATTGTTAAAGCAGACGGTCATTCGTGCGAACAATGTTGGTCGGACAGAATTACGTATTTACCTGGACATAAATACCTAATCCTTGATGTCCAGTACCGATTCCTAGAACCACCAAGTACGATGACTAGACGTGACTTTTTGGGATTTTGGCGGGGAATATTCGGTACTCGGACAACTTCAACGTCTCACATGGTATTCCCGATCTCAAAGATAACCTTTGGCTGGACTACTCCAAGGTCACTAGGACGCTCAATTTTTACTGATCACGGGTTGAGACTGAAGACCCAGCAGTCTGTTACTGGCGACTCCCCGGTGTGAAGGCCGGTCAATGTAGGAATCCGAATGGAGCGAATTGAATAAAATCAAGGAGCGTTTGCAAATGGCGAGGATGATAGCTATTTTTACGAGGTTCTGGCCCTGGTCAAGTCGGTGAAATGAAGGCCAGGTACTCGGTAATCCTTGCCGGCTAGAGCTGGAAGGGAGTAGAAGATGTTCCAGAATGCCAATGAGGGTCTTTCCCGTTGGTCCCCCATGACTGCGGCATTTCATTTCGAAGACTACACCGATGACAACCTATAAATGATCCTCAATCTAAGATTGAAACAAGTGGGATTTGATGTCACACCAGCAGCGAAATCAGTAGTTCGCCAGTGTCTGAGTCGGGAACGCAACAAGTCAAACTTTGGAAACGCGAGTGAGGTGGACATCCTTCTCGACAAGACGAAACTGCAGCACCAGAAGCGCCTACCAGTGAGGCAGACACGGAGCATTGGTTTTCTAGAGCCACTAGACTTCGATCCCGACATTTATCGCACGGAGAGAGGGTCTGTGAACCATCAAAACCTCTTCAAGGGAATTGTTGGATGTGAAATCTAATTATGCAGCTAGGGGCCTACTAGAACGTAGTCAGGAATATGAAACGGCGGGGGTTAGATCCTGTGCAGCAGATCCCGTTCAACTTTCACCATTGAATGGGAGTGTTGAGTATCACGGTGACTGAACATTATGGCTGGGATTGGGAACGGATATATGTATGAGGCATCTAGCCTCTGTAAAAGAAAAGTCTTAAAAAAGGGTCAAGCAACAAGAAACAATAAAAACTATCACTGGCCCTAACAATGCTGTATCCCAACCGAAAAGGAACTTAGCAGCAACAACCACCTATGAACACAGTGCTGTAAGGCTTGATCTAGTAACTCACCGAGTGAAGGCTGCCTGTGTACCGTATCGACAAAAGATAGAAACTTGTAATAGAATAGGTTCTTCATGCGGGATGTAACCTGCATATCATCTTGTGGGCATAATACAATGTCGACCTCGAAGAGACAGTTTTTCAGGGAGAGTACCCATTCAACGTGCAAGTATTAACAAGAAAGGGCTGGAATATTGACTGAACCAAATTTTAGAGCGAGCTCTCCGCTAGTTGTGTTGGATTTAATATCGAAGATCTATCGGATAACACACTGAAAGCTATTGTTCATGATTTGCGCCGATATATTCAGAGGCAACTGAGTGATATCCTGCTGCGATTTAATATGTAACCCTAACGGAACTTACGGATTCTGCACGGTCAAGTAGACTGGGACCCTCTTCTCCACACCGTGTGGTGTTATGGGTTGGAGGACAGCAAGGTATGGGATACAGCATTGTAAGAGTAAGAAGTGGGCTTTAAACCATGAATTTGGAAGGCTCAAAACGAATGGTCAGTACCAAATACAAGCGATGTTCAAAAAAACTGAAAGTTATATCTGTATGGTTGTAAAGATTCAAATTGAGTTGTGTCAAGAAGAACAGTCGTGATAGACTAAGAAGACAAGAAAAAACTTTCCTAATCTAGTCATTATATTCCTTCTGCAGAGACGTCGAAGTAACGCCTCCCTCTTCAACATCGCAGTGAATAAGTCCGTTGCTGTTGCGAATAGCAACATCTATGAGCAATTAGAGATTTTTCTGCAGGGGATAATCAAGAATGTCAGAAGATTGGCTTACTCAGATCAGCCTTTTGCAGGCTCCGGTTATCATCGCCATCGAAGCAGAAACAGGACAATTCACCACCACTGTCAACATCGCAGTAACCGCATCGTTTCATGAAATTTCCACTATTTCACCACTTAGCTTGCCACTTCCTTGATACTTGTTATAGTTGGTAAGCTGTAAGGAACATACTTGATGCGGGGGACAATAGAAGCATCCGCGATGGTAGCGTAACACTTGTTCAAATCAAGTACGGATGTCTCCCAGAAGCTTCCCTTATCATCAGAGCCGGCACATTGGATGTTCAAGCTCGAATCGAACATGATAGGGTTTTTACAACTGCCGGAGTACCCGCCGTCCGCATTGACTATGGCAGATAAACCAAGGATACAAACGGCAGATAAGAGGTGCATTTTGATATATGTTCAAAGAAAGTAGATTCAGTTGAAACAAATGAAAGAACCAAGAAATAAAGGAAGTTACAGCTGGGAGTGTTGAGCATACACAAGACCGTTGATGGACAGACTCCTTCTTTATAGTGTTCTTTCGGCTGGATCGATCTGGGGGATCGCGCTATTATCGGTCTTTCCGTGAATTGGGGCCATTTCTGCCTCAACACACCCACCTGCCACGATGTGGGATAACCTTTTCTTGAAGGGCAGTAGGGGTGTTTAAGGAGTCCGGAATAATTCCGAGTACTTAATATCCCCCACATAATAATTAGACGGAGCTAGTATTTGATCATTCTACTATAACTATTTTTAATATCTATAGAAACGCTTGCTAGTTTTAAAATATAACACTCTTTAATTTCTCTAACTTCAAACAGCGTAAAATAGGAAGAGCTCTGTCGGGATTATAGCAATTACTCACGAAAATCCAGCACATATCGCCCGTGGCGTGCCTACACATTTACTTGGACCCAATGAATGCAGAATTCGCTTATTCACTACAATTCGGGTCTACTCCACTGGGATTTGGTTTCATGCCGATCCTTCTACTTTGGCCCCCAATTCCTAGTAGCGTAGTTCCTTCTCTTAACTCAATTGGGTTAGGGTATACGAAGTCTTGGGAGTTGGATTTGGATGTCAGACCTTTGATTTGCACTCCTTTTTCCATGTCCAACGTACATTTGCACGTGACACAGCACCGTTTCTCAATATTTCGCTCAAGGTTTTTTTTATACATGCCGGCAGAATTGATCTTTGGCCTCCTTCTCACTCAAGCCAAGTTTGCGACAGATGTGTTTCAGAAGCTTTTATTGTTTTCCTTTCGGGCTGGCCTCAGCGACCTTTTGAGGAGAGCTGGAGTTATATGTCCCTATACAGACTTGATTTTCTGGAATTAATGTGACTTTCCTTGTTTGGATGAGGTCGCTTTAATGAGGGCGCTCAGGAGGTTGCTCACTGAGTATTTCTCATCACCGGTCAAGGCTCAGCGAGCGCTCAGGTCCTACTCAGGGCGGGATCAGTTGTCGGAACATGGGTTCTTCCCCTGTCCTTGGGTGCCGGGCTGCACAGCCTCAGTCAACATCCCATTAGTATTTAGCCTAGCTTCCGGTGTGCATCCGCACCCCTGAATACCGGACTCCTCCATGCTTCCACATCAGTGGGTAGTCACGTGCGTAGTGAGCTACTCATCTGTGGCAGAAATATGTGGGTCTACCGAGGAGCGATTTATTCAACTAAGGAATAGGATCGTTTTCAACTGAATGAAGGTCTTGATTCTTTCTAACTACACGATAAAG